TCTAGACTCTGCAAGTGGATTATTTTTCATGTTCTGTAAAATCCCAGAATGTTGATCTTTTTATTTATTGAAATGTGTGTTCCACTTATGTTTTTCTAACAACTAAAAAGCACAATCTAACCAAGTCAACAACTAAAATATTGGAAGAGATTGTCTTTAATAAGTTCAGAAACTCATTGATGTGTGTCTGTAAAGAAAATATTGATTTGCACCTTCACCAATGTGCAGCCTTTACCAGTTAGTTTTCTGGTCTCCTCAGTGTGTGGTATAATACTAAGTGAACTCTGATTAAATTCACCCCTCATGTGTGAGACTGCAGCCCCAGACATCACCGCAGTAATTACTTTGGAGGTTGCACATCGCTTGTTAATGAAATCTTTTCTCGATCTGACTCGGAGTTTCTTTCGCGTTTAATAAAACCATAATGATTTTGAAAGGCAACCAAATACCTTTGCCCAGGGAAAAGAAAGGACAAGCAAATATTGACATGCTGAGAACAGATTTAAGGAAGAACAACACCTGAAAGAAGGAGTTCTGTCCCTTAAGGATGAGATTACTGTGGTTCCGAATAGACGCCAGGAAATTTCGTCCAGGTCACTCACTTCCTATTATCCTTATCTACTCAGCCATGTTTAACAGTCTATCATTCAATACCTATTTTTTATGGCCACACAAGTAATATTCCATAGACTTGTATAAATCTGGGAAATTGGGTCAAAAAAAGAGGAAAAAATAACCTTTTAATGCTCTAAAACAAAGATTCCATCATGTTTGTGGAATGCTGTGGTTTGCAATATGGAAACAGACTGAGTCCAGAATCCAGTGGCTAGAAAAAAATAATAAAAGTTTGTCTGAGCAGGAGGAAAATCTTGGGTGGGGGTGAGGGGAGCTTCTGGAATTACACATCAAAATCCATTGGACGCACACACACACACACAGAAACACACACTCCTATGCTCCCTGCATCTTCCCCACCGAGCAGTTAACCACATCGTGTGGAGGGTGGGGTTTGGGGAGCAGGCACGAGTATAACTGCTCATTGTTTTCATTTCAACTGCTGAGACATCCTTGGAATACTCTGAAGGRTTCTGGCAGAACGTCACCAGCACTAAAAGCAGATGACTCATTAATTATCTTATCATGTATAGAAACTGAAGAACAAACACCGAGAGGCCGCTGCTGCTCACGCGTCCYCATCAAAGCTTCTGCTTTAATAAATGTGTGGTCGAGTTGTGAAAGCTCGGCCGAGCCTCTGACATCTCTCCCTCTCCTCGTCTTGCCTTTAAACTGATAGAAGTGCTGAGATCTTACAGGCGAAATGCTTGCATAATGGATGTTTCCAAAAATACAGAGGAGTAGGCAGGCAGGCTGACCGAGGTTTTGGCGCCGCGCCCCAGCACGGGCTCTCGGCCAGCCGTTCGCACTGTGCATTCCCCTCAGTGGACCACGCGTTCTGGAAGAGGTGTGATGGAAGCGTTCAGACAGCTTTTATTCTGCCTGATCCATTCCCCCTCCCGTATCTCTTCACTTATCAGACCCCAACACCCCTCTCTTTTTGTTTTCTGAAAAGTATTCCCTTGTGTCGTTTTCCCAGTCCTTAATGGCATTCCCTGCATTTCCTCTCTTCTCTGTTGTTGCTGACCTCATCATCTCCCATCTTCATCTGTCTTTTCCTTCTCTCTGATCTCTTAGACCACTTTGTGATGATATTTCAGCGTGTGAACATCTGGAAAAGGTGAAAATTGGGAAATATTTGCTCATGCCAGTTATTGATTCAGGTTATTATAAAAAAAAGTCATTGTTTTTAGAAGAGGGGATTGCTCGACTTGCTGCTGCTTCTGTATTTGGTTCCTAAAATACTGTGACTATTGAGAGTTTTTCTCTTCAGAACACAAAGATTTTGAGTTTATCGTCTTTGAATTTTGCCAACTGGAAGAGACGCGGAACCTACTTAGGGGGTTTACCCCACAAAAATGAGAGCGCAAGAGCAGTTATGTAAGGCATGAACGTGATGAATGAACAGAGATTTTCACAGTGCTACCACCATTTAATCACTCAAGCCAACACCGCATACATCCTGCAGAAAAATGACAGGAAAAAGGCTTTCAGGAAATTATGTTTTCTTTCAAGCACCTTTTACCTACTCCCTCATTCCTGTGAAAAAACAACACAGATCCCTGTGAAAGTAATGAAGAAAAAGAGAGAAAAAAAGTTTAAATGGGTCTTTACCACAAATACACCAGTTCTTAAACACTCAGCAGTCTCACGCATTAGGGTGGTGTTGTGGTCAAGCCATATGGGGCGCCACTGAGAAACTTGGTGATTTGACATAAGTCCAAAAGAACACACATACACTCAGTCTTAATTGACTTGTAAAGCTCCACTAAAACACAATTTTATGGAATAAATTTTAGACTAGTCGCTGGGGATTTGATATCAGGTTGTGKCCAGCTTGCAATTTTGCCACCACCACAGTTTCTTTTCACACAGTCCAATGGAAACTTYTGCTTTTCAAGATAAACTAAACAAGCCACATCGAAGTCACCGCAAAGCCGGCAGATTAATTTGTCTAAAGTCTTTGTATGAAGTAATTTTGCCTTGTGCTGAGGAGACTGTAGCAAGAAAAGATTTACTGAGCCACATGCAGCTGCAGGGGAAGTGGACGAAGCATTTGTAAGAACATCACTGACCTCCAACTCTTTGCAAACTGACAGCTCAGGCTTTGGTGCTACTTCTCTAAGGGCCTTGTGATACTCGTGCTTCTCTTTTTGTTGTTGAAGGAATTCATTCTAAGGCTCAKACCACAACCCAGAGTCTAGGCAAATACAATAGAGACTATGATTTATGGTCCTAACTGTTGACTTTGCAGAGCTGGATCAAGCATTACCCTCTGGAGATGCTGGCAGGGCCTTTAACCCAACCAGTGGCAGTGATCGCAGCAGACACTGGCTTTCAGATTCTGTCGAGGTGTAAAGGAGATGTGATTTTTCACAACCAGGCCAAAACCCAGCCAGGTCTCCGCTTCAAGCATCCCTCGRAACCTGTTAAATACCTGAGGGACGTTTACCAGAGGATGAAACGAGGAAACACATGCCAGAGTGGGATTCTTTAAGTAAAAACTGAGATTTTTATCCAAATATTCAACTTTAAAGTAGCATCTGGACACTGAAATAACACTATGGGCCCACCAGCTCATTCAATACCTGCACCTCTAAACTGTGATGGCATCTTTTTCCCTCTGGAAAAGCCGATTACAAAGACTTAACCTTTAAAAACTGTGATGTATTTATTATATTCAGGCTTACACGTGTTTCAATTATTGATTTTTTTTTTATTTGTCAAGATTAATAAATAATACAACAGTTATCAGCATCAATTATATTTTATAAAACAGTCCTGTCATCTGATGCCAAGGTAATTTTATAAGATCTTGTCTAGGATATTATCTGATGGTAGCTTTTTATAAACTTAAATGTGCAGGTGTCTCATAGCTGTTTATTGTTCCAATGGCTAAATTTAGTTAGCCTATCTGTGCAGCTATCAGAGTGGATTTTGTAAAAACAATTGATTTAGATGCTTCAGTTCTATAAAAGGCAAAACCACTGCAGGACATAGAACCATTTCTGTAAATCATTTTCTGCATTACCTTAAGTTTTCCGTTAAACGGTAATCCTTTGGACTGATAAAGAGCCTTCTTGGAAGGAAACAAAACCAAATGCTGAGCCCAAAATGACCCTGAGATTTTTAAAAACAGTCTCGAGAGGGAGATTTATGAAGATGGATATATTTACAACATCTTTTTATCTTTGCACATTTGACCAGCCCTCAAATGGTCTGAAAATTTARGGTGCAGAAGAGAAAATGCATCTTGCAGTAGGTGTGCTTGACAGTCTTCTGAGTAGTCATTGCCCCGAGGGAGAGACCCTGTTCACATGCCACATTTTTATACAGTAGAACTGAAATTTCATCACTAAATTAATGAAATTAGTGCTCACTCCTTCACGAGATTTTTTTTTCAGTAAATCTGTACAAGCAGAGACACTTCAGTATAATGGACAGTAGTTGAAACAGAGATAAATTGTAGCTTCTCCAACCGCAGGCCTCCCCCGGCTTTGGTAATGACTGGGGGAGGCAGACAGGAGCGCTGGATGGAAGTTTAGTTACCAGGCCTGAAAATTACATTTTGGTGCTAACTCCAGGCTTCATTTGGTTGGACCTCAAAGGAAGCAAAAAGCCAAAGTAAACTCAGACCTGAGAAGTTGTGTCTGGGATGCTTGGGAGAAAAGCAACAAATGTCAGCATGCTCACAGTTCTCACTGTCTAAAAGCTGTCTGACTAATCCTCGATATTCCTCCATGATCTAAACCTGAAGCCCTCTGTAGCCACAGAACACTGTGGCATTGTGTCCCTGCTCTTTAGGGCTCTGTGATTCATTTACTGGCAGACCTTTTTGGGTTCATTCACTGTATTTTTCTCATGTTCTGTACTATAGTGAAATTCATCTTTTCAGTATTGAGCTGGTTTCTTGTGACTGTCTGTGTTGGGCACTTAAACACTCGGAAAGATCCATATGAAAAGCTTTTTTGTCAGAAGTTGGTAATTCAGTTAGTTGTCTATTTGGGACAAGTATGAATAGAAGTGGAAGTTTTATTTTAAATCAGTGTTCACACTGAATCTTTGGGCTTCAGCAGCACTCTGGTGCACTGATGCAGTAGTGCTCTCTGCTGGCAGAAACAGGGAGGATAATGTACCTTTATGCAAAACTATTTTTCATTTAAAATATATATATTTAAATAATTATGTAAAAACTTAAATTTATTACATTTTGTGAAGAGTTCACCTACATAAAGTTATTTTAAATATGCATAATTCTCTTACAAGTGGTGTTTAATGTCTTCTCTTAATATTTATCAAAACACATGCATATTTTATTGTCTTAAAATATTAAAGTTTGAAAGTAAAAGCGTTATTCAATTCTTTCTTTTTCTTTTCTTTTTCAGGTCAGCTTTGCTTCAGTGCCAGATCCTCAGTTCACAATGAGGGTGAAGAGATGAGCTTGCAGCAAGCAGCCCTGTCCCTGCTGTTCCTGCCACTGGACTTTTACTAAATCCCATTGCCCAGAAGATGACGTCCCTGACTCCCAGATTCTGAGGACCAGGACTTCACAGCACAGACTGTGCACCATGGCAGGAGAGACTCAACAGATGCATGCAGTCAAAGAGCTGGATGCAGGGTCCAAACAGCAGGATGAGGATACGGCGCTGGAACAGCAGAGTGACAAAGCCACAAAGGGATCTTCGAAGCACTTTTCAAGCACAGGCACTGAGGCCAGACTCAGCAACAGAGAGGCCAACGCTGAAAGCATAGATAAAGAGAGGGACTGTCCTCAGCAGCGTGAAGCTGTCATACGGCCACAGCAGACGGGGAAGATTGACTTCAAATCACTGCACAACAGATCAAAGTTTGTCACTGACGGGACTTGGGCGAGCGGGAAAGGCAGTCCCCACTCACCAAGTGGAAAGGGCCGCAGCCGAGAGAAGGGGAAGCGGTCAGGAAAGACAGAACGTGGCAACCCGCAGCAGCTGTACAGACTAAGCATTACAAGTCCACGCACCGTTGGCATTGCCTATCCGCAACAGAAGGTTTTGCCACCCAAGAAGCTGGAAACCAGTCGTGGCCCGGTCTCGAGCAGCTACAGATTCCACATTTCCAGTATGCCAGAGAGAGAGGCTGAACTGCAACAGGAAGAGCTCAGCTACAGTCGCTTCTTCCAGGAAAACCCRGCCAACATTACGTCCCCAAGCTATACCTCACAGCCGCTGGGTTCCTCAAGTGGAACAACATCCCATCCACATCCACCCTTGTCACAACAGCCAGTTTCAATGGAGAACAGTGCACAGACTGGTAGCCCGCTCATTTTGACTGACTGTCAGCTTAGTGGCTCAAACACTTGGCAGTCTCCTGAACGAACTTTTAATGGTGCTAATTATGGGCTTTCATCACAAAAATCTACTCTCCCAGAAACCAGTAAGACAAGTGGATTTGTGCCTGGTCCATTTCAGTATGGATATCATTTACTGGAACAAGCAACCTCTGAGTCTTTTCCCTGTGAACAGAACCCCCAATCCCAAGACTTAAGCTCTTCACTGGGCTCTGTTCATGTCACCCACAACTCTTTTTCCTTTACCCCTGGAGCAGGGCAAAACATTGCTCAGAACAGCACTCAGTTCAGTAATGAACATCAGCCAGAGGACAGAAGTGCTTATCCCCATCCCCCGCAGCACCAATTTATTCAAGCAGTGGCTTCATCCATCCAGTGTCCCAGGAATCTGAGTGAAGACTCACCCAGCAGTGACAGCTCTGGCTCCGGCTCACAGCAGTCAGAGCAGGGGAAGCCCGCTCTACCTGAGAGCACAGACAATATTGCACAGGCGGACAGTCAGGAGGCAGCCATCACCTCTGGGAATAAGAGAAACTGTCATTCCAAAGACACAGCTGCCAGCCAAAGAACACTCATCCAAGGTGGTATACACACAAGAAATATTTCACAAGGRCCAAGCTCTCCGATGAACTTCCCCAACAGAACATTTAACAGTCCTGCGGTGAATATCGTTTGCACAAACTCAATTCCTTTTGAGAAAAACAACAATAAGGTTCTGAACAGGATACCACACTCCTGGGAAGGGCCTAACAAGTCATATTCACCAGCTGATCAAAACACAATTCAGTACACTGATATGAATGAGAAGTTTCAGTTTCAAAGCCAGACAGCTATTGATAATAGGCCAAATTCATCTAAAAGCAGCAGAATGTCCTGGCAAATACGCCCAAGCTCTGCCCTGCCAAACCCAAACAGGATGGAGTCATCAAGGCAAATAAGCAATCAAAATCTGGCTTACATAGTGTCCTCCTCTGACTGGCAGGATGAGAGTAAATCACATAAAAATAACTCTTTGAAAAACCCCGTCCATTTTCAGAGCAGCAGAAGTGGAGACGTGCTGTCAAATCAAAGGCAAGACTCTGCAAAACATAACGGTAACACCGTCTCAGCTTTTAAAGTAGAGATGAGRCACTCAAAACTGTGTGAGTCCAAGAATAAGTCTCTATACTTTGGACTGAATCAGTCTCTTTCAGCAGCACCGTCACAGCACTACAACTATCCACCATTACAGGTCCCACCTATGGGGCTTATGAGGGTGTCACCGTATGAGTCCCCTTTGCCCTCCCCAGTTCACAACCCGGCATCCAGTAGCACCTGCTCCTCCCTCTCGCCAGCATCCACSAGCCCAGTTAATGTCTGTTCAGAGGACAGCCAGATGGCAAAAACAGCCCCGCCTCACTCGTTCTATCACCAGCCACAAAGTAAAGCTCAGCTGCCTTCAGATCACTTGAACACGCACCAGTTTCACCCTGACGCATCGCGGACTCTTCCATTCACGTCAGACAGGCCCAAAGACGACATGATGAGCTACCTGCCAAACAGCACACATCCAAAGACGGKAATGGAGAAAGGTAAAGGCTACGTGGATAGTTTTGGGGTGGAGCATCACCAGCCTCCACCGACATACTCTGACCATCAGCTCGCCAGCTCACTGGCCACGGCAAACCTCGACCAGTTAGACGTGTTTCTGACCTGCAAACAGTGCGATCAGAATTTCAACAACCTGGCTTCGTTTCTAGGCCATAAGCAATACTGCGCTCAACAGACGTTTGCACAAAACGACCTCAAAGACATGCCAAAGATGGAGGAGAATCGAAAGTTTCATGTAGAACCAGTCAAAGCAGCTCCAGCAAACGTTTCACTGTCGAGGTGTCCGTCTGACCTCCACCTGTCGCTGCTGGGCCTRAACAAAAACGGAGAACTGATGTGTGAAAGTGAAACAAAAGGAGAAAATAAAGATGATCCAATGAAACTTGGGCTGTTCTCCAGTCCAGGTAGCCTTCCTGTTCCTCTCCCAGAGCTGGAAATGGAAGATGCCAAATTAGACCGGCTAATAACAGAAGCTTTGAACGGGCTGGCGTATCAGTCGGACAACGCAGAGATAGACAGCAGCTTTATTGATGCGTTCGTTGACGATGACCTCACCACAGTCAAAACAGCATCAAGCAAGCAATGTGTGAAAACGAAAGAATCTGTAGTCTTTGAGAGCAAAAACAAACAAGCAGCTGATGAAAGAGCCTTCACACAAGGAAAGTATTGTTATGACTCTGATGCTGAGAGCCACAAGAAAATGTCCACGAATTTGGAACTAGATGAGAAAATTAACATTAAAAAAGAAATCTCCCATAAAAATTCAAGAATCGCCTTGAGGGAGAAGACATGGGAACGTGAGAGCAAAGTAAAAGAGGCAAGGAAGCTGTGTAAGAGCGAGGACAAAAACACAAGCACACAAAGGTTTCTCCTATCCAGCAACTTTTCTGAGCATTGTGGCTTAAAAAGCTTTCAGGACAACCCTGCGCTCCGAGGGTCAGCACCCTCGCAGGCCTCCACATCTCCCAACTCGAAAATCGCCGCTAAAGAAAGCAAGAAGAGAAGCACTGGAGGGGGCACCTGGAGCAAAGAACTCATTCACAAAATAGTTCAGCAAAAAAACAAACTCCACAAGCTCCACGTGAAAGGTACGAAAAACCTTCAGTTTTCCTTGGTGATGGAGAGACTCACTCCGACTGTGCAGAATCCTGCGTTCGGAGAATACGACTACGTCTCCGACTCTGATGATGAATGCGAGCCTGTAAAGATAGCGAGCCAGGGCCGGCTGAATCAAAGCAGCCGCTGTAAATACACGTACACCAAACAGTGCAAATGGCGCGCGAGGAGCGAGAGGGACCAGGCGGCGTGGAGGCACGAGTCGAAGGAGTGCTTTGAGATGAAAAAAAGCGAGGAGTTGTCCGTCACACCGGAGAAACACAGTCCTCACCAAAAACTCAGGCGGAGAGGCAGCAGGTCGTCTACAAGCAGCGACCTCAGCACATCTGTGAGTGTTTCAAGCGATGGCATCAACAGCCCCAAAAGCACTGACCGCACTGACTCAGACAGTGAGAAGAAGGCAGACAAACAGAAAGAGTCTCCCGAGCCAAAAAGCCATGACAGGTCTACCCTGAAGAAGTTATTTAAAGAGTCCAACACTCTTGCACTGACATTCACTAAATCTGTCAAGAAGTATAACACAGACAAGGCTGCTCATTCTGATAACAAAGTGAGTGCAGAGGAACCGAAGAAAAGTCACTCGAATCCAGTAGCTGCTGATCCGCTGACATCATCAGACAGGGCGAGAGACATGGCGAAGAACGTTGAAAAAAGAGGAAGTGCTCTTACAAAACCAAAAGACAAACCTGCGTCTCATAAAAAGGAGCTTGACTCTGACAGAAAAAAACTACACAGAACAGACAAACTGAACCCAGAACCGACACAGGGCAGCACWAATAACAGGACATTAAAGGCCGATTCTCATTCTCCCTCTCTCACCAAAGGAGCCGACTTTCACGTTGACAGAAACACAAAGGGCGGAAGAGAAGAAGGGTCAGAAGCAGCGCCTCCCCAGCTATCAGGCAGCACCACGCTGGAGAAACAGAGTGACAGTGTCTGCATGGCGAAAGAGGCTATTATTTTAGTCAACGACCTCGACACACACAGACCTGCATCTCTTTACACATCTTTGATTGATGAGGTGTGCCTGTCCCCGACTGAAAGCCAAAAAGATGCACTCCACCTCATGCCCTACCCACTGGACCAAGAGCAGGGGCTCATGAAATCCCCMCTTTCATTTGACACCTCATCGATATTTGGAGATCTCGCCGGATTTGACAGCGGCCTCTACTCTGAGATCCCCATTCAGAAAGAGGGTTTCCCTACCTTAGAGAGCACAGCTGATAAAAAGGAAGAGTTTGTCTCATCTTTTTCCCCTTTTATGGAACAAAGAGACTGGAGCCTCATGGTTAACCCTGTGCTACGAGATGAGATATCACCGTATAAAGACAGTCCTGAAAAAACAAATGAAAAGAAGTCGGACTACAATCACATTCCTTTGTCTCTGCCAGAAAAAATAATTGACTACAGTGCAACACTCAGCAGCTGTGCATCAGAGGATGAGCTGGAGATAAAGAGAATAGTGAATGAGCTTGAAACCCAGCTGCAGTCGACGAAGCTGGAAAGCTCACCACTGCTGGATCAGGATGCCTCTAAGCAGCTGCAAATGAGCAAATTTTCACCATTACAACTTGGGGATAAGTCTGAAAGTGAGGACAATGGTTTGAACGTCAAAAGCCCAGAGCAAGAAATAAATTTTCAAGTTTCAAGAATGTCTTCAGAGCCTTTCACTGAACCAGAACCTTCATGGCCTGGTCCATTCCAGTTTGAGTTAATTGGTGAAAATCACGGCCCTAACACTCCAGTTCTCGACGAACAAGCAGAAATCAAAACCAAACTTCACCATGAACCAAATGTAAAAGAGAGAGGTGCTGAAAATGCAACTCCTGCTGAAACAAAGGAAGAGATTTTGGAACAAAGACAATACACAGAAAACCTCATGAAAAGCCTGGAGGTGATTTCTGACTCTATATTCAAAAAAGAACCCATTATATCAGCACCTCAGAAGCCAAATGTCAACTCTCTCACAAGTCAACAACACGGAGAAACTGAATGTCAGGCCACTGATGCAGCTGAGAGAGAAGATCGCTGTGAAAAGGAAGCAATTACCGTAAAGGAGAATATTTCGCCGCTTCCAAATATCAATGAGCGGAACGATGAAATTGAATTCATTCTCAACGAGTCACAATCATCTCTCTCCAACGAGACTGACCCTCCAGTCGGTAGCAACCAACCGATTTCATCACAGCCAAGTGAACCTGCGGGGAACAGGGATTACAAGACAGAGACTAAAGTCYCAGCAGAAGAGGAGATCACAGCAAACAGCCATTTGACTGAGTCTGCTCGCTGCTCGAGTATTGTGACCCATCGTTCACACGAGTTTGAAAAGTCTCCCAGGAACGGTGATGCAGAAGACGATTTAAATCAACTGAATAAAAATGAGGAGGCTGGCGGTGAATGTGTACTTACGGATGGCCGCGAGGAAGCCGAGGCCGTGAAGGAAATCATTCGCCGACCTGAGGGTCATCCTTTATCACCAGCTCCAGTTGACCCCACTCAAGAGATTGGCAAGAAGATTGCAGATGTGATACAGTCTGRGCTGGAACAACAATCCACTAATGACAGTCCTCAAGTTATTTGCTCATCAGAAACTTGTGAACTGAAAGTGACACGTTCAGACAATGCAGTTAAGGATATGACTGCTAAAACACCAAAACAAGATCATTCGAGTGTAATTTCTCCCTCTAAAAACYCCAGTCCTTCAAAACTGTTCAGTGAAACAAACATGTCATTAGAGCTGGTTACCACAGACAAGCCCTGCAGTCCTATGCTAGTGAATACAGAAAGCTGCTGCTCACCCCTCCATGACACTCAGTCAGCAGAGGGACAAAGCAATCTGTTGCTCCTGTCACAGTCTGATGGCATCATTACCYGCGAGTCCCACAAAATGACTCCATTTAATGAATCATTAAAAACCGACACAGGTCTCGACTTTGAGTCTGCTCAGAAACAAGAGGAGATTTTGAATGTGCAGGACATCAAAGAGCATCTTCCTGTCAACTTTATGGCAAGTCAGCAAAACTCCCCGTGCAGAGAGGCAGCAGAAGAAAGTCACTGCATTTTTTTAGACGRTGCCTCACCCGTCAGTCCTCTTTTATTAATCCCTCCTCAACAGCCCTTGCAGAAATTTGATTCAGGYGAGGATTTCTGCGAGCCAAAAAAATGTATCGATCCGCGCTCTAAAAATGGAATATCTCCCACGAGCGACGATGACAACCAAATCCTCCAGGAGGCTGTAAACAGTGATTCATTAAAGGAGACGACTGAGATGGAGTGCTCTCTGATACCTCAGTTGGATTTTGGAATCACAGAGTGTAAAATTTCTGAAGCGGTCAGCTCCTCTCCACTTCCTGTGAGCAGCGCGGCAGAACCAGCAGAGGTGACAGACAGTCTTGAAAAAAGTGGTCTGATGTTTGATTTAAAGCTCAGTCCTCTCAACTACAGCGTCCTGTCAGATGAGCCTCCACAGCTGAATCAGTTTGACTACATTCCAATATCACCTGCCAGCAAACCTGAGGAAAATCTGCACACTGAGCAGAGACCCAGAGAAGACTGTGAATCGTGTGACTTGAGCATCCATCCTGCACTGATTTTTAACCAAGCTGAGACGGAAACAGCAACGTCGCTGAGCACAGACTCCAGGGCTAAACTGCACTCATTAAATAAACCTCTGAAATATACATGCTTTTCATTGGGTCTCACAGATGAAGTGAAAAAAATCAGCTCCTCCGCTGATGATGCGAAGGCAAGCTTGGAGGCTTTCCACGGCCCAGTTGAACCCGCTGAGGGTTTGCAGGTCCACGCTGACCTCCTGAGCAAAGCTGAAGCAGAGAGTTTGGTTCCTCACAAGGCTTCTGCTGATGAGGGTGTTCTCAAAAACGAATTTTCGGATGATCTGCCCACTTCTAAACCACTCACCATCTGCGAAAACAACCAAATGCTCCTTCCAGCAGACCAATCAGAGAAGCAGCTACCAGCATTTCACCAAACACACAAAGAAGCGACGCAGAAGAAGACACAGAGCAGTGATCAACAGGGTAAAGTGCTCTGTGASATTTGTTTTATGTCTTTCAGAACTGTGCCAGGCTTAAAGAGACACAAGGCTATGAAGCATTCGGTCAGAGCTGAAAAATGCGTTGGCCCACAGAGCACAACATCAAGCCATCAGGGGACTGTGCTTATTTATGAAGCATCGCAAACTACAGAGAGAAAGCATAAAGATGATTCACTGACTTGTTTCCCAGCAAAAATAGATGGGCTTCCTGAGATAAGTAGCTCTCTCACATCTAAAACAGCCAAGTCTGAGTCAGTCCTGGAGGAAGTGGCGACTGAGACGAGCGCGGCGGCAGCAGATGAGATAAACCGTCAGAACGCCCCGCTGCCAGCAAAGGCAAGGAAGAACAACAAAGCTAGAAAGAACAAGAACAGCGAGCTCAGTCCTGACCCTTTCTCTGATGAGCTCCTGCATTTATTAAAAACAGACATTCTGCAAGCTATAACTCCTGAATTCAAAAACAGCACTCTGCAAGAGCCCGGCAAATCCCCTGAGGGGAAAATCAATGACAGAAGTGCTGCTCAAACAGAAGAATTCCCTCACTTTGTTACTTCAGATGCAGCCTTTAACAACACAACTCAAACTCCAACAAAAGAGCCAAGTGCACTCAGTGGYCCTGTGGGGTACAGTCAGTTTGGTGACACGGAGGTGATGAAATGTGCGAGCGCAACAAAGAGGTCGTACTTGGAAGCGTGCATGGATGATAATGTTGGATCTGTGGAGAAGGATATTACTGGAGAAAGTGATGAGACCAGAAAGAATCTGAGCTCTGTGGGGGAGATGTGCAAAGTGAAAGAATCAGARGACAACACCGGCCTGGAGATCCCGAGAAAAGTGTCGACGGAGATTAATTGTGTAGAAAACAGGAGTCCTTCTGACAATCTAAACCCCGTCTCCTGTTCGACTTTATCCCTCCCCAGTCCATCCCCTGTGAGTCCGGATCTGAGGCACTTGCTCGACGATGACTCCACGTTCTCCCAGCTGTTCCCACGAGATGAGGAAGCAAAAAAGAAAAAGTGCCCGAGGGTGTATAGCAAACGAAACAAGAGACCAAAACTTTCCCTCCATTCAGATGAGACTATAGACTACCTTCCTCCTGAAACTTTCATGCAAAACAGAAATCAGTTTGTGGAGCCACAAGCTGAGCAGAATGTCAACAATCAAACCAACCACTGTGAATATGAAACCATTTCCATTGATGATGCCATCATGTTAAACATGTGTCACAACAGCGCTGTAAAGACTGATGGGAAGCCATTACCAGATGGGAAACAAAGTGATCAGCTTGGCCCCATCAATCCRCTGGGGAGTACTACTGATAGATCTGAAGCTGAATGGAGCGAATCCAGTAACTTACCTGGCTTTAACGGAGACTCATCAGTGATGTCTGAACCCAGCCTCTGTAAACCAGAGGAAGTGCTGAGCCCGCCCTGCCCTCTGCCAGCTGCTCCCTGCACCACAGAGGGTCCCCAAAGCTTCCACAGCATCGACATCCAAAACATCAACACCACATTTCAGCTTCCCGACATCCAGTTCTTCGACTCCGATAAAGAGATTTCAGTAGCTCCCCCGCCCGAAATGGCAGACACTGACAGCAGGGACGACGAAAAGTCAAAGAAAGTGACGGAGCGGCGAGGCAGGAAACGACAAGACGGAGGAATGAAGGTCAAAGATAAGCAGTACAAATGCAAAGTGTGTTTCACTTGGTTCCTCACCTTGGGTGAGCTGAACTTTCACAAACTTTCCCACAACCCCTCTCCACCTCCAACCTGCTACATGTGCGTCCAGCGCAAATTCAGCTCCCGGGAGCAGCTGAGAGACCACCTGAGGGAGAAGCACGCCAAGAACAAGACGGGCATCTGGACCTGTGGCATGTGCCTGAAGGAGATATCAGATGTGTGGATGTACAACGAGCACCTGCGAGAGCACGCCACTCAGTTCGCCCGGAGAGGTCAGACTCAAGGCTCCATGCTGGGCCTCCCAGGGAGCTTCATGCAAGAGACAGCAGTGAAGAACTTTATATCCTCAATCATGCAGCAGCGACCCAGCAAAGCCAACAGAGAGTCCAGCAAAGTGACCAAAGAACAGGAGAAATCAGCTGCCGCGGACAGCTCTGAGGGGGCTGAAGTTAAACTGCACAAAACTAAAAGCGGCAGTGGAGGAAGCGGGAAACAGAGCTCATTAACCCCACTTGAAGTTCTGCACAAAACAGAAGCTCCCAAAAGTGTGGAGATGCATCCCAACTGCAAGGACCCCTCGAGGGACTGCCACCACTGCGGSAAACAGTTCCCCAAACCTTTCAAGCTCCAGAGACATCTCGTGGTGCACAATCTGGAGAGGATTTTCCTGTGTCACAAATGCCCCGTCTCTTATCAGGAGGCCCAGGAGCTCCGAGAGCATCTAAAGGCAGCTCACGAGGAGGTGGAGGAGCTGGATTCCAAACACACGACACTTTACACCTGCGAGCTGTGCGCCGATGTCATGCACGTGATTAAAAAGTCTTTCATCTGCAGCACCTGCAACTACACCTTCTCCAAGAAGGAGCAATTCGATCGCCACATGGAGAAGCACCTGTCGGGGGGGAACAAGATCTTCAAATTCCGAGGCGTCCTCAGGCCCGTCAAAGCCGCCGCGTCCAGAGAAAATGAATGTGATTCACCTGCAAGGAAGAAGAGGAGACTTCTCTCTGACAGTCTGCCAGAAATCAGCTCCGACAGTGGRATCGCGAGTTTGAGCTCACTGCACCTAAATCCAAATCCTGAAACCCAGTCATCAAAGCCATCCATTTCCACAGCTGATGATTCCACACAGACTTTCGCAAACGAATACCACAGTGACACAAACAATACAAACGTGAAGACGGAGGACATTTCTGCAGACTGCTCTCAACTAGCAGATCTGGAGAGCTGCATGCAAATAAGCTCCATTGTGTCTGCTACACCCAAAGAAGAGGAAAACAACTTAACTCCTGCTAATCTTGATACGGAGGGCAGTGAAAAATCTGTTAGTGAACCGTGTGACGTAAAAGAGGAGAATGAGTCKGTCTGCATTAAAGCAGAGGCAGCTTCACTGACGGCGTCTAAAGAAAGCTGTAACGTGGAAGAAGACATGGTTAAAGCTAAGAAAGGTGACAAAACTGAAACTGAAGATAAAACTGATTCACCTCCGGCCGATGAGAACTCTTTTATCATCTCAACAGAGAAGCAAATCCATCTGAAGACATCTGAGTCTGCAAAGCATGAATTAGCTGTTGATGAGATGAACCAACGGGGGGATGATGAGCCGAGGCATCACGCATCGTTTTGTAATGACAGTAACCAGCAGGTATCATCTCGTAGTGCTGAGCAGCAAAGCAGCAGTCAGATGAAAAACAGTGTCYCTGCAGCCACCGACAACACGAAAACCAGCCCGGTAACCAGCTGCGCAAAGGCCGCCGAATCAACTCCAGTCATCCACACCAAGGTTTCCCCTCCGGCATCAGCCACGAATGAGGACAAGGACGCAGCAAAACCTCAGAGGAGGCGGAAAGACGTGAAATCTGCMCACATTCTGCAGCGACTCTCCTCTCCAGCCACGCAGGAAAACTTCGCCGTRGATTCGAAAGCCAAAAAGAAATTTCGCCCGAGCAAATGTGCAAACCCCTCCCTGCAGAGAAAGTCGGACGGCTCCAAAGAGTACCCCGTGCTGTCCTCGGTGCGGGACGACGTCGTGGGCAACAAAATCATTTCCAAGTGCAAGAATGGAAGCTTGAGCTTGTCYTCAAAAAGAGGTTTGCTCGAAAGCTGTTTACCAAAGAAAGGGGACTTTAATAAAAAGGGACCTCCCGGGAGATCGGTGCACTCTCCTGTTTCTAAAGTGTCTTCAGTTCCTATGAACAACTCTTTGAATAAACCAAGGCCAAAGATGGGGGTCAGGTCAGTGGAGAGTAACTCTTACCGGACAGCTGAGTCCCAGAATCACCTTCTGAGTCAGCTGTTCGGCCAAAAACTCACCAGCTTCAAGATTCCTTTGAGGAAGGACACATCGGAATCTATTAACTGAGGGGGGGGGGGGGTGGATCTGTGAATAGGGGGACTGTAAATTTTCACAGCTATAAAAGTTTAAGAAAAATTCATTATGGTGAATGAGATTGCACAGCTCTTTTTTGTGAAATGTTATCTTTAAATATTTCCATAGTCACTTTATGTCTTCTTTGTACAATGTGTTTTTATTACACAAATGTGAGGACGAACGGCAAAAATGAGTTTGTCCGGTTGGGGAAAGCAAAGATTACACTTCATTTACCTAAAGGAGAAAGAATTAAAAATAAAAAAAGAATACTTGAAAACACATGTTCTTTAAAGAAAACATCAAAAAAAGATGCATCTCTATTTTGCATTTAACACACAGTTCTTTCAGTCTTTCTGCTAAATGACTAAAACATGCCACACCTTATTTGGACAAATGTTTTGTGCACCTTTCATACATGCTTCCAGCATACATAACAATTTTGTATTTTTTTATTATTTTTTTTAGCTTTACTGTACTGCATTGACATTCATTATCACAGACCTGTTGTATAAATGTCACCTGGTGCTACATGTTTATTGTAATGTGAATGCTAACGTCCTCAGAAGAGAGCATGAGATCTGTAGCAGTTACAGTTCATACATCCAACTGGTCCTTTTTTTACTGGTCCTCTGTATTTTATGGAGTATACTGTATAAAAACCATCCAAGTCATTCTCATAATTAGGACAGCTTCTAGTGTATAAACTCAGGTGCACACAAATCTGAAGACCTGTACTTGGAGTTCTTTCCATGCACTGATAATACCACACACAAATGACAAACTCATTTATCTGTGTCTGTAACTCCAAATGTTTAATTATTAATAGTATTTACTAAGACAACAAAGGTGCTTTATCTTGTTTATACTGTATGTACCTTCATTGTATGATATTGTAGGTAGATTGTTGTTTGGTGTAATGCTTCGTGACAAAGGTTTATTTTAATAATGTGCAAAATGAATGAGATGGAAAAGAAAAGGGAAATGCCATGCTTCCTTGTAACTTTGTAAAGTGGTTCACTAAGTGCCTCTTTTACAGTCGGTTATTAAAGATCTGTACTGGTCTCTGGTTGCTCTTTATTTTTRCCCTTTTTTTATGGAATGTTTTGCAAATGTTCCCGCTTCCCCGGCGGACTGCATCTGTCACCACATGCATCAAACAGTGGAAGCAACGGATGCTGCTTGTGCCTTGAGGCAAAAACAGGTGCACACACAACAAAGTCTGACTTCTTTTTTTTCCCCCTCTCCTCCCGTATTCTCAGATGAGCACATCAGTGAGTTCACTCATCATCTGAAAGATGAGCGTAAATGTACCTTTACTACAGGGAAGCATTTAACAGAAGACAGATATTTATGTACATTTCTRCAACCATCGAGAGGGCGGCTGGACACTCTGGCTCGTGTCGCGTTGCTCTCTCACCACATGTAAAGTGGCTTCGATTCCTACATGAACATTTTTCACCATCACATAGGAATAAAAAGCCATATTACACCGTGGCTCACATGTAGAAACACAGAGAACACGAGGGGTAGAGTTTTCTCACATCTTCTGGCATCACCGGGAGACCTGAGGAAAGCAGCGGAGAGAGAAAAAAAAACAGGTTATTTTGTGCAAAATAAAAGGCGAAGCTTTATGTTTGAGTGAAATGGAGAGGTGTACAAATTAGGTGCAGTGATGGACTCATCAGAGCTCACTTTGTGCACATAGATAGAATGTAGTTACTATTTCTTCCCATAGCAGCTCTCCTTCTTGCTCTGACCACACTGCTGTTCTGTGTAAACAAAGCCATCAGGCTGGGTGTTGATTCAAAGGGAGTGTGGAGGGGGGGAGAAAAAAACTGCTTTTGAATCAACTCTTTAATTAATTTAGTGGGAATAGTGGGTTTGGCAGCATCAACAAACACCATATTTCTGGACTTGGTGACAACAACAGAAAAATGAAGCAAACCCAACTTTTACAGAATCGCACATTCATTTCAATAAGTTGCTGCACTGTTTTTTTGTGTTTTTTTTTTCCCTTAAACTCCTGAAAGATGGATTTAAAATTCTCAGCAGCATGTCGGCGGGTGTGTTACATCTCGACCTTTGTTTTGGTTCAGTAAAAAACAAAAAGAACAGCACGCTAAGGATACAAATTCACTGTTTCCTTCAGGCAGACAGCTGTCCACAACACTTATGGCTGAGATAAAAAATATTACAGCTATATCTTATTTTATGTTCTTGTTAAAATATTAGACAAATGTGTTTTATTTTAGAAAAAAATATGTTTTTTGGAATTTAATATTGATAATATTTCAATTGCATTAGAGGAACTTTTCTAATATAAAGTATTGGTGCTGTTTAATTGCAAATTTGTCATTAAAACCAATAATTTTATCATAATGCATAAGTTGGAAGATCTTTTTCACATCTATTAAACCCTTTTCTAAACATGAGGTTCAATATTTCCATAGTTTATCTTTTAAATATAATCTGTAATTAATTAAAATAATTCTTGTCTGTGCAGGATATATAAAAAAAAACCTGCAGGCGTCTAAAGGTGTGAACTGCCTCTGATTGACAGTGTAATTACAATTAAAAAAAACTTTACGGAGCCTTTGCTGATTACTTTGACATACCTTAGTGATTTTCAGTTGATACCAGCTGACAAGTTGTCATGTCGCTGCTGATGTGTTGAGAAACAACCAGGGTGTCTCACAAAAAAAAAATATTTAGTTGTTTCGCTGTAATTTCTTCTCCTTATTCAAACCCATTTTTAAATCCCTCGCAGCATAAATAGAAGGGTCAGGAAGGATGAAGATCCATCTGTTAGTGTGTGTTTGTGTGTGTGTCTACACTGCTGCTGCTGTAAATGGATACCACTGATTAAATGTAATTATATCAACAATAATTATGGGAGAAAAAAAGCCTGGCTGAGGTTTATTATGTGGTTTAGTTTGATTGCACAAATTAGACATGTTAATATACAAAAAATACATCTTGTTCAATATAAACATGTGAAACATCTTGATAAATGAGTGCTGCTTAGTTCACAATGTGCTCTAAATGATTGCTTTATGTTGCCAAGATTTCTGTGTGCGATCATTGCCACATCCACCATCTCCTTCCAGCTCTGTTTTTACTTAAAGGGAAAATGCACGGCTCATTCTCTGTTAAGCTGGGATTAAACACACGACACTACAGGAATCTGGGCAAATCGAGGACTCATTCATGAGCGTGGTGCCTGAAGGCAGCATGATTGATGACTTCAGTGACGTCACAGCCATCAGGAGAAATGGCTGTGATTAATATGTCAAACTGTGCAATTATAAAAGAAGGTAAATATTACCAATGTGGGCTTTTTATACGTACTTTATTTAAAATTTTGCTCACCGATTATATTTTGCAACTTTAAAGATGTAACCCTTCTGCCTTTTTTTCCTACATAATATACGCACCTGGATTTTACCTGAGTCTTTGACGTCTGCTTTTCTCCTCAAGTGAAAGTTCCCCCTCAGGGCCTTGGGTCAGCAGCTGTGGTTGATTAAGACAGAATTAAAGCAGAGATCTCAGTGTGTTTTGTCAAAGTTTAGCCCAGAATGTGTCACAGAGAGTGAGCAGGAGCTCCGCACACCAGGCTGTCAGCCGTCGTTTTATCATCTGATCTGGGAGGAAATTCTCCAGAGACACAGTTATGCAGGAGCATGACAGGAGCGCTTTGCACTTTGAAGTAGAGTGACATTATCAGTGAGAATGGTCTTGAAATAGCATCTCTTCCCCCATCACACACACACACACACACTCCCTTTTCTAAATCTTACTCCCTGCCTCAGCTGTTCTCTGTCTTTCCTGCATCTATTTTTCTCAGCTGCCTCCTCCGTTTTTTTCCTGCTTATTTCCCTCTCTCCTCAGCATCAATTTCCATCTCAGCATCTCACCCCCCACCCTCTCAGTTTTTGCCCCTGCCTCTCCCCATTATCCTCTTCCATTCTTTATCTCAATCCTTCACCTGTTTTTCTTTTTTTTTTCAGCATTTCCCCCCTTTTTGCACACATCTCCTCTCTTTTCTCCACCCTCCCTCTCCCTATCTCCTCCCATCTCACTGTGGATCGTGCTGCTGGCTGCCTCTCGGGGAGGTCATGAGATCAGGGGCAGATAGAGATGGGCTGCTGGTCAGCGGTAATGACACACAGGCTGAGAGGCCGCCCGGGTTGCCTCTCTTGGGGATGTGAGGTTTTAGCCATCGCGGGGAAATAAATGGGTAGAAAGATGGGCTGGAATTTGTTGCACAAAAAAAGGGGAAGGGATGACTGAGCATCCCTGTCAGCAAACACAGAGGGTGGGGGGAGAGGTCATGATGCATTTCCGCTGGGATGATATGTGAAATAATTTGTGCTCAGTGGTGAGAATGGGCCCGAATAATTTAATAGAAAGAAGTTTCCCTGCTGTGAACAAAGAGGAAAATGCTTCAAAGCTTTAAAACTAAAATATTGATTTGTGTCACTTAACATTGTTTCTGTTCTGCAATTATTCTACAAAGGTATGATGAAAATCATTTCTGCAAAATCTCAAAACCAACTGATGGGTCACTGAAAGATATTTGGGTCTTTAGAGTCTCCCCTTAAAATCTTCAAAACAGAGTCAAAAACTTTTCAAGGATACATAACTCCCAGAAGAAAGGAATGCTTTTCAAATCAACAAGGGCAATTATAGGATCAAAATAAACTGTTTATCCAAAAATAATTAAAAAAATAAAAGCCAAATAGAAATCAGCGAGGCAAAACGTTAAAGTGATGCCAAGCATGCTTTGAATATCCAAATTAATGGCCTCTCTCCAGGAAGTCATGGTCCTTTCCTGCCAACAGAGCCTTTATCAACTCAACCATTTGTCATTCCAGTCAGGTGCAGAGAGGGAACAGGCTGTACACAATAGCTGAAAGTACCTGTTCTGTGTTCCAGGTCTGCAGAAATAAATGGGGGGTTGCTTCGCAGGTGCTATGCAAACAAATGAGAGGCTTTTAGTGTGTGTGTGTGTGTGTGTGTGTGTGTGTGTGTGTGTGTGTGTGTGTGTGTGTGTGTGT